TGATGACCTTAACAACAATCATTCTCAAAAGATCAGTGGTGGGTTGTGCCATATAAAATTGCCCATCTTTGATTTTTAATATATACTTAAATGAACATTTAATAAGACACAAATATTACTATATTAACATTAGAAAATGAGGAACTGGGCTCAATGAGATTATGAACTTTCTGTCATCACTTCACTTAGTGGCGGAGTAGTTACCAAGCTCCCACCACAGCTGTGCCTGTCAGCAGTGCATTCCATTCCCTTAACACCCTTCGCCCTTTGTGCTTCGGGCTGCACCTCCCTCAGGAAGCCTCCTGCCTTCCAGGGAGGGGAGAACGGTGCCTCCCACAGGGCCCCCGTCGTAGTCCAGGGTGGTTGCTTATTAACCGGTCTCCTGGGCTGGATTGTGGACTCTGGGAGGGCACCAAGGGTACCCTGCACTGACCAACTGTGCACAGCTGGATCCCCACATCTGGCTCGGATGAGTGAACACTCAGTCAACACATGAAGGAAGAAAGGAGGGAAGGGGGTAAGGGAGGGAGGGAGGGAGGGAGGGAGACAGTGTTCTCAAAGAACCAGAAAAAAACCCAGGGTTTTAGGGAGTGGAGTAAAGGTCGTCCACATATGAGTGTCTCCTAAGAAAGATGAAGTCGGACTCCCCACCCACCTGAGCGTGGCCTGAGAGCTCAATGCTGAGAAAGGGAGAGAGGGAGACACAGACTCCTGGAGGCCGAGGAGGCACCAAGCCAGGAGGCTGCCTACCAACCCATTTGTTAAGGAGGAAAAAAGGCTAAGAGAGACCATGAGGAAGAGGGCGGAGGGCAGGCTTAGCCAGCACTCCAGCGCTTGAGCCTTGTGAAGCCCATATAGTTCCCACTCCCCAGTCTCAGCTTATGGAATGCAAATCCACCATGAAGAGAGTAGAAATGAGTGTTACTTTAATTTTGCTATCAAAGTTAGGAAAATCCCTTTACTTTCCTGGGTCTCTTTCCATATCTGCAGAACGAAGGTTGTGGCCCAGTCCTCAGTTCTGTCCGCAATGACACTGGGCAGCTGTGAGTCAGTTGTGTATCCTCTGGCACCTCTGTGCTTCTGCAGCAGCCTTGACGATAACAGTCCTCCCCTTGAGTACTGGTTGGCTGGTGTGAAGCCAAAGCTGAGAATGTGGTTTCCAAACCCTTCCCAGCTCTCTTGGCACGTGCACCTCATCTGTAAAGAGGCATAATACCTCCTTGTTGGAGAGGATTAAGGCCAGGGACCAAATAGGACCCCACCGGATATGTTTCCTCCTGCCTCTGACATGCGTGAGAGCTGCAAACCTACACGGACTTCGACAAGTTCCCACGCCATTCTTTCATTAAGCTATGGATGTTTACCAAGTGGGTTTTAAGCCCTTTGACAACCACTAGGCTTTAGAGTAGGGAGAGACCACAGAGATACTGCCTCCTGAAGAGGAAATAGAGATTCAGAGAAATCAGTGCCTTGCTCAAGACTGCAGCCAGTGAACACCAAAGCTCCATCCTGCACTCTGCCCAGAACAGCACGCCCACAAAGGCGCAGCTGGGCTGGTTCCTCCTTTCTTCTTCTGCACTAAATCTTCCAGGGACCTTCACATTTGTTATTTTCTTTAATCTCTCCAGACCTCACACCCACATCTTCCCACTGGACAGAGGAGGTCAAGATCAAGTCTATCTATAGTGCCCCGCCTCCGGCTGCAGCAACATTGGACAGTGCCCCCCTCGGTCCAGCAGCCTCTGGCTGTGAAGTCATGTCCGTGACTCCTACAGCGTCCATTCACGTCCACACAGAGAGCAGTAGAGCTGCTTCAGCTGAAGTCTGGGGATGGTCCTCGTCTGCCAAATTTCGGTCTGACTCAGACACTTCCTACAGTTGACCTAACAGAAGAAATGTCTAACCAGATCCCTCAGCAGCCCCTTGTCTCACAAGCCTTTCCAAGAGCCACACTCACCTTCCCCCCACCCAGCAAAACCCTGCTGCCTGAATTATAGCAGCAGTGACCCCACCTTAGAGTTCACAGTCCTCTTCTTCACTCTGAGCCCTTGTGAAAGTACCATCTTGCCCAGGGATAATACCTGAAGCCTTATTAAGAAATTCCTCCGATTCCCCAACTCACCCCACCAGGGACCAATTCCCCAAAGTCATTCCCACAACTGCAAAACAACTCAGCACAAGGAAGCTGGGTTTGATGTTGGGCAAGGAACACAATCAGCCTTCCCCTTTACCTGCCGAAGCACAGAACATGTGAGGTCCCCTACCCCCGCTCCTGTAGCCCTAGCATCAAGCGCTACCCCGGCAGATGCGCACCCAGCATGTTTATGAACGAACTTCTCGGGGTCTCTACTCTAAGAACCACAGTTCCAAGGGGAGGCCGCCTGTGCACGGAAACATGTACAGGATATCATGGGAACAGCCCTGCAGAAGAATCATGCCGGCCCTTGTGGGTCAGGGAAGAGATCTCAGGGGAGAACCTCCTGTGAATAAGTGAACCGCTTCCACGCAATCCCTGCTCTCCCATAACTGGTGAGGCCTGGGGCCGTCGGTGCTTTCATTTAGAAGGAAATCCCTCTACCTATGCGTGGGAATGCCCGCTTGATACTGCACATACACTGATGCTGTTTGTCAACCTTCCTAAGCACACGGCAATTTGGTACATGGAACACCTTGCCACCGATCTCTGGTTTCCAGGCCTGAGGCTCCCTGCTGCCGTGATGAGGCAGGTCACTGGATGGTCGCAGAGGGGACTGTGGACCCAAAAGGACCTGGATCTCGGGGGCAGTTGGATATTGAAAGGCATTGGAATGTGCTTTGGGTTAGAAGTGACCTTGAAAACACAGGCAGGCAGCACGGAACGTGATCTGCAGACACTGGGGCTCTGCCCAGGGAAACAAGACCTAATGGGTGTGTTCCTCCTCTCTTCCTCCAGGAGCAAAATTTAGGAGACTCCATTGCCAAGAGCAGCTGAGAAAGGGAGTAAAGCACGGAATTTTGCTTTGTTAAGTGAGCAGAGACAGCACAAGAAGAAACAGACCCAAAGATACGGAAAGAGAACTGGTGGCTGCCAGAGCGGAGTGCGGTTGGAGCCCTGGGTGAAAGAGGTGAAGGGACTACGCCGCACAATTGATAGTTACAAAATAATCATGGGGAAGTAATAGGTAAAGCATAGGAAATAGAATCAATAATACTGTGTTTGCTTTGTGTGGTGCCAGTGGGGTGCCAGAAGTATCAAGGGGAATACTATATAAAGTATATGATTGTCTAACCACTAAGCTATACAACCAAAACCAATAGGAAGGAAGGGAGGGAGGGCCAGAGGCACGCAGGCAGTCTATGACTGGTGGAGACGCAGGAGGGCCAGCCAGCGGCAGCCTGCCCTGGCTCTCCGGCCCTATCCAACGAACTTCAAAGACCGGTGATTTCCCTTGACCTTACTAATTGTCTATTCTGGGGGAGGTGTGCATAGAAGGCAGGCCTATCAAGAGCAGACAGGCAGCAAAGCCTGCTGCCTCTGACAGTGCCCTTGGCAGCAGAGCAGATTTGAAGCTTACTTACTATAATCCCTGAGAAAGAAAGGAGGTACCTAACTGGTCCTACACTCTTCAATCTGGTTGCCTGTTGAGATTGCTTAGAAAGCACTTATAAAATTACAGGTAATTAGACTTCACCCCACACCAATTAATCAATCTCTGAATTTTTGTTTTTGTTTTTAAAGCTCTCCAGGTAATTCTACTGTGCAGCTGTGGTTAAGAAACCTTCTGTATTAAACTAATCAAGCCCCAAGAATTCCAAGGTGGCTAGATCCAGCTTGAACTGGACTGGACAGAGGCCTGCTCTAACAGCACGCAGGCTGAGCATCCCTTCATGGTGTGGCCTGGACCGGGTGCCCTGCTGCCCGGCCAGGGCACTGAATAGGTACTCCAAATACTTGGTTTCATATCATCTTCCCAGGAGACATCTGTAGTTTTCCCAGGGACCAGGAGCGAGGCTGGTGGTTGCTTCAAGCTGGACGTCAAGCTTGGAAGGAACAGGATCACTGTACGGACTGCCTCCTTGCAGGACCAGGACCAGGACCCTGCATTCGCTGGCTCTGCTCAGCAGGGAAGAGGCTCAAGGACATTCACACAAGAAGGTAGTTGTGGTCATTAAAAGAAAATAGGTGTTTTTCATGCTTTCTGTTTTCTATTTCTTGTGAATCCCTTCCTTACAAACTGCTGTCCCATAGTTTCTACAAGGTTGGGAGGAGACTAACAAAAAATATTTTGAGCAAAAAGCCAGTAGGGCTGATGTTGCATTCAGTACTATCAGTAGCCATTATGTTACACTTCTGAGAACTTGAGGAAAGAAAATACTTTGTTATGTGATTCAGGAATACTTTTTTTTTTTTTTATAGATTAGAGATGAGACCTAAGACTGCCTCCCTTTCTCCATAGCTACCTTCTCCTACCCACAGCCAAAATTTCCCACAGATTGGTTCTCACAAGAAATGAGACACAGATCTTTGGAAATCGATACCAATGGCATAACATTAACATATTCCCAGCATCTCAAAGCCACATCAGTGCAGAAGTGCTGCACTGAATTATTGGTTAGAATGGGAACACTATTAGATATCAGCCAATCCCAGGATGATCTCATCCACCTGAACATTTTAAGATAGGAGTCAGCAGCTTTTTCTGTAAAGTACCAGATAGTATATATCTTAGGACTGTGGGCCACGGACATGCTGTCCCAACTGCCCAACCTTGCCATTGTGGTCCCAAAGCAGCAACAGACAATATGGAAGCAAAGCTGTATGGATCTTACTGTCTTGAAATACAGTTTTAGTTTACAAAAAGAGGAAGGCTGGATTTGGTGGTTTGCTGACCCATGTTCTACCAGACACTACTTCTATTTTGAAAATCTATTTGCATTTGTGAACACAGCTTCCACGGATTGAACTGACAGTTAATGGGTGACAAATAAAGAATAAAGAATAACATGGTAAAAGACTGATAAGGATTTAATGACAAATATTCCATATTGGTTTGCTTGAACACGAGAATGCTGTCCAGGGAACCATCATTAAATAAAACAACCTGAAAATAAGGCAAATATCTCACATACACAAGCGTGCGCGCGCGCGCACACACACACACACACACACACACACACAAACCTGTTATTTTCAGGGTCATTAAATTATTCACTATTTTAACAAACAGCTGTAAAATAACATTACAGTGAAGGAAAGTGTGCACAAACATCAGAAACACAGTTCAGATTGTCTATGAACATAGGTTCCTCATTTGTACTTTTTCACATATGTACAGCCTCTTGATCTTGAAGAGACCACATGGCTCAAGGGGTTAACTTGTCATCTTCTCCTTCCCACTTGGAGCTCAAGATTTAAGCAAGCCATTTCGCCTATTTAGTCTGCTCCATATTTTGCTCAGTAGAGGCAGCCTGCACTTGACCAAACTCCTCGGAAACAAGTGATACACTTGCCTCCACCTTCTTTAATGCGTTGGCAGAAGGAGTCTTCATATTAACATCTGTAAGGGTGAACCACAGTTAACAGGGTTTGCTCGAGAACTACTATTATTCTAAAACTAAACACAAGAAACGCAGATATGTTCCCTGAAGGATTGTAAGAAAAATGGAGTCACATTTTAGATGCACCTTAAGAGTGGGTATTGATGGTTGGTCTGTTTCCTTCTAAGGGGTTTGCTCACCGAGGGGATACTGAAGTGGTAGCTGACTCTTATCCACAGTAACAGGAAGAACAAGAGAGGTCCATGAAATCTGAAGATTTCCACTGCCTCTAAATTATTTTACATTACTTCAATCTCCTCCCCCTGTTGAACCCTTTCTCAAAAGCTGCTAATATGTAATGTATTTGATGCAGACAAGACTGTGCAATATTAGAACCACGGCAGCCAAAGGCCAACTAACTCATAAAGTGGATGGTCAACGCAAGAAGAATCAAAAGTTCAATGAAATTTCATAGGCACAGACTTGAGAGAACTTAAAACAGCTGGAAGAGGTAGATGTGCATGGAAAAAAAAAAAAGGAATAAGATTACCTATAAAAGGGCTATATTATTTTCAGGTGAGTCTCATACACTTTGTAGTCAAACTATAAAATTCAGAATAAATAATGGACACTTGCTTTGCTCATATTACTCTCAACTAAAAGAAAATTTAAAAACAATTAGTGTCTTCCAAAACTACCTATATTTTGAAAATCTATTTGCATTTCTGAATAACAATAATCTGATAAGAGGGCAAGATTAACAAGCACTATACAAGCCCATAATTCTCAGGATTTTTAAAGTGTTTTTATAATGACAAAAACATGCTTTCCTACAGTCCCCAAAGAGGTCCTTTGCTAGAATACAACTGATCAAGTATAAATTACTGGCATCCCCATAAAATTTGCTAAATTGTAAAAACAAACTTGTAGGTTTTTTTTTTCCCCCTTCATGTGTGTCCAACAGTCTGTGAAGATGCTTCCGTGAAAAGTACAGGGTAACAATCACTACCGGAGAAAACAGGCTGCCTTCTGCGACTCTAACTTCTAAAGGCTAGCCTAGGGGAGGGGCTTTCAGCACAGGTACCTGAAATCTATACAAGTCCTCTAACTACAGACCCCTAGCAGAAAGGTAACATACCTCGGACACCCTAATTATGTGACAAAGACCAGCTTTGTCAACAAGGACATCTTTGGCCCTTCTAGACTAGCCTTAAATTTTCCACCAAGCATATGAATTTTCAGTGTCCTTGGTTTATAATATAAATCACAACAGGTAAGTCTTCCTAGCAGCTGAGCTGGAGAGCACAAAAGGCCGGACCACACCTACCCACGCTGTCACAGCCTCTCCTCAGAACAGCATTCGGCACTCCTGTCCCCAGGCCTTCCCTAGGACAGTGGTCATAACACTGATCCACCTCCCAAAGAGGTGAGACACACCTAACAATCATTAAAAAGCATAAAGCACTTTACAAATATAAAAGTGCTAGTTTGGCATTTATGGAACCACCAGAAAACATTCATTGCTTGTGCTATTTGGCAATTTTGCATTTACACCTCTCCCTGCTTGTACTCTCCTTGTATAAAGCCTGGAGCTTTCTACTGTGCCTCCTTGGGTAGGAAAAAGAAGTTTCTACTCAGACCAGAGCCCAGATTAATATGTGTGGAGGTGGGGTTCCATAATCACCCCGTCGTTATGGAGGAGGAGGGATGCAAGACACAAAACGAAGGCAAATGAGACAAAGGAGACTTGCACTCCAACATGTGAACTTTCACTTTCCTGTGTTTCTCACATAAGGCCAGCAAAACTCTTGAGCTGGTTGACCTTTGCAGCAGGTCACTGGGGCAACTGTTGATGGTCTGAGGTTCACTTGAAATGAGCACCCAGCTGACCTGGGAAAGGGAAAGTCACACAGAGCTGGGCTTGTTCCATTTCCCTGCACATAAAAGATCACAAGTGAGACCTGAAAGAAACCCGGAGCCAGGCACACACCTGACACTAGGGGCCAGCGTCTGCTCACCCACACAGACCACCTTAACCCAGAGAGAAGCTAGAACATTTCAAAGGAAGTAGCAACGAATCAGGGGTGGGACCAGTATATCCTAGATCTGACAACCAGTTATGAATGAATTTCCAAGTTTTACCTTTGCAATGAGGGTGTGTTGCTTTTCTGCCCAGTTTCCCCTGAATGCCTCAAAATAGCAGCTAACTGTGGCTCAGAGAAATGAAGGGCATACAATATATCCTTCCCTACAGAATTGGCTAGGTTCCTCTACTTTTCGTGGGACTATAGCTGTTGTGGGGGGGACAGGGCAGAATTATCCACACTGGCTCTTTATTTTACCCTGTAACCCTCACTCCAACCACCCCCTCTCCCCTGATTCCCACAGGCCATCCCAGCCCACCTACTCCATTCCTGCCATCCTGGTTCCGTCCCCTCCCGCCTAACTCCCTTTCCTCAAGGTCCTCAAAGTGCCCGCTCTGCTCCGACAGCGTGTTTGAGAAGTCAGCACGCTCAAGCACAACTCCCAAACATTTCTCCATTGGGGAGGAGGCGGGCAAAAATATAGCAACCCAAAGAACACCTCTTACTCAACCCTCCCCTTCAGGGTCCCTTAGCACCAAAAGAGCCCTAGTCACTCTCAGATTGTCCGTCCCGCCCCTTCCCATTTTTTTCTATAGGGTCTGTCCCCAGGACATCTGCGCCCCACACGCTGGGCTGAGGGCAGCCTCCCTCAGGCCCAGACCTAGCACAGGTGCAGCTTCTGGTGCTGCGCGAGGTGCGTTTTGTAGCGGAAGCCCTTGCCGCAGCCCGCGCACTTGTGCGGCTTGTTGCCGGTGTGGATGCGGCGGTGGCGGATCAGGTGCGAGCTCTGGATGAAGCTCTTGCCGCACTCGATGCACGTGTAGGGTTTCTCGCCCGTGTGCGTGCGCTGGTGCTGCGTGAGCGTGGAGAAGTCGCTGAAGCGCTTCTCGCACTGACCGCACCGAAAGGGCTTCTCGCCAGTGTGCACGCGCAGGTGATTGACCAGGTGCGAGTTACGGCCGAAGCCCTTGCCGCACTCCCGGCACACGTAGGGCCGCTCGCCCGAGTGTGTGCGCTTGTGCGTGAAGAGATGCGAGCTGACGCTGAAGGTCTCGCCGCACTCGGAGCACATGTAGGGCTTCTCGCCCGTGTGCACGCGCTGGTGCTTCACCAGGTCCGAGCGCCAGCTAAAGCGCTTGCCACACTCGCCACAGCCGTGCGGCTTCTCGCCGGTGTGGATGCGTTGGTGGTTAGCCAGGTGCGAGCGGCGCACGAAGCCCTTGCCGCACTCTCCGCAGGCGAAGGGCCGCAGCGCAGCGGGTCCCTCTCCGCTGGCCGCCGCGTGCGCGCGGCGGTGACTCAGCAGGTGCGAGCTGAGGCTGAAGGCCTCGCCGCACTCGGGGCACGGGTAGGGCTTCTCGCCCGTGTGCAGCCGCCGGTGTTTGAGCAGGTCCGCACGCCAACTGAAGCTCTTGCCACAGTCGGCACACAGGTTGGGCCGCTCGCCGGTATGCAGGCGCAGGTGGTTGGTCAGGTAGGTGTTGCGGCTGAAGCCCTTCCCGCACTCCCCGCAGCGGAATGGCTTCTCGCGTGGAGGTCGGGCCAGCGCAGGCCCCGCCCCGAAGCCCGCGGCCACGCCCACCACCGCGCCGCACTCCCCCGCCAGACCGAAGGGTTCCAGGCTGGCTGCTGCGGCCGCCTCTGCCAGGCGGTGGATGCGCTGGTGCTGCAGGAAGGCGGCACCCGGGCTGAAGCTCTCCCCACAGTCGGGGCAGATGGTGGGCGCATCCATGATGCTGGCCATCAGGCTGTCCAGCTCCCCGAGGTCCATTGCCATGGGGTGGTGGAGGCGGCGGAAGCGGCGGTGGGCCGACTTGTCGCTCCGGTGCCGACTCCCCAGGGAGAGGTGCCGCCTCCAGGGAAGCACGGGCGGGGGTGGCTGGTCCTCTTCCTCCTCCAGCCGGTTCTCGCAGGAGCTCTCCTCCTCCTCTTCCCGTGGACACCGGGGACTCCGGGATATGTTATCGGACACAGACAGTCCTGGGAACACTGCCACCTCAGCTACACCAGACCGGTCATTCTCTTCCTCTCGGAGAGCAACCCCTTCTTCCTCACTCAGCAGCCCCTCTGCAACAGAAAAGGTGACAATGGGAGTAACTATACCTGGAGGTCAAAATGTAAACCTGAGAAGAGTGTGGGCCAGGGAGCAATTAATCCGCTTCCCTCAGGGTACTCTCAACCTCATTCTCCAAGATCCCTAAGATTCCACCTGGTGCCTCCTGGGAAGAAAAGCTAAAAGGACAGTATGTACCAAAACCTAGGCAAAGGTCACGCACCTGCTTCCTCGGCTTACCAGTTCTTGGCAGCTGCCTCTGAGCCCAGGCCCCACCCACTGTCCCTGACGCTTCACTCAGAGCCATCTGAAGGCTTGACAGTCTGCTTGAAGTGGTCAGGTCTGTGCCAGGTGGGATCTCAGAGGAGCTTTGCTCACTGTAAGAGCGACCCATGCCTTTCAAGGCCCTGGCCTCAAAAGATAAGGCCGCTCCAGTCAACCACAAGAAAAGACCAGGTGGCCTACCCAGGCCTAACCAGGCCCAGGACTGATTTTTAAAACGTGAGTGGTCATTCTGGAACAGCTTAAGGTGGAACAAAACACCAAACACACCCCCAACTTTAAGGGCTTTACTACGTAAGAGGAGTGAGGAAGATGTGCGGGGAAGGGAGCACAGGGCCCAGAGCCAGGAAGCCCAGTGTAAGAGGCTGACCCAGCACACACACCTGTCTCTGGCTGCTTATGCCCAAACAGAGGGCCTTCCCGACAGTCACTGGGTATGAAAAAGCTCGTGCACTGCTGGGGCCTGGGATGAGTTACAGGGCGAAGGATGGAACCTCACAGTCCAGGCCATAAGGTGTTTCAGCTCGTTTCTGTCCCCGACACACGCACAGAGCAGGATAAAGGAATGCCCCAGGACAGAACTAAATACAGACGGAGTCCCAGCATGCACTGTTTCCAGGTCAGGAATAGCAAGAGCCTTTGGGCACTCCGAGAATTAGCCACAGGAACCAGGGCTGGTCCCTCGCCACTGAGTTTACTTATCGGCAGACAAGATGATAACAGTAACTAAACATCTCAACACTGTGCTTGGTACTGTGCTTTGTAAGCCTTTACGTGTGGCAATTCGCCTAACTCTCCCAATTGCCCGATGAGGTAGGTTCTAATACTATCTGTGTTCCCTCTTGTGTCGTTCCAAGTATTGATCTATTGCAGTATTCTGTATACTGTGAAGTGCTGCGCCAGTGAGTACCCTTTTCGCCCGTGTACCAGAACAGCCCACCTCACACTGGACAGAAGAAAAGGATGTTTCTCAGGCTTAAGATGGGACAGATTCAGATTAATGGTCTCCTCTGGGGCGCTCCTTCACAAGAAGGCTGCCCCTGGAAATAACTGTGGAGGAGCTAGAAATGAGTGAGGGGGGCAACTTCCATGGGCCCTGCAGGCGTCTCCTCACCTGTGCAGAGGTCAGACACCAGTTCCCGCTCCTCTGAGTCCTGTCTTGGAGCTTCATCCTGTGGGTTGGAGCCCACCTCCTGCTCCAGGTAGTCGCCTCTCTTGTCTGTGTCCTGCACGTTAGAACCCATTTCTCGCTCTTCCGGGTCCCCTTCCCTGTCCTCAGAGTTCTCAAAATCAGAGCCCATCCCTGTGTCTTCCGAGTCCAGGGCTTCACACACACCCTGTTTGTCTTCGTGTTCCATCCGTGAGGAACAGGACGAGGGAAGTGACCAGGAGTCCCTGCTTCAGACAAAACACACAGACAAAGGTCATGTCAGTCTGGCCTTATTCCCTCACCTTGTCTGCCTTTTAATCCCAGTGGCATAGTCCAACAAAAGGCAGAGTTCCGAGCTTCAGACGGCAAATCTCTGCTCTGCCTCATGTTTTCAGGTTAACACCTCTGAGAGCAAAGGAGGCTGGTCTGGGTGCCAGAGGGACAGTGGCCACTCATCCTGAGGCCATAGGCCAACTCTCACTGGGCCACAATTTGATCAGTTTCCATCTGTTTCATGAATGATTCTATTAACATGACTTTGTAGCTTACATCATGGGGTAACAATGGTATCCCCATTTTACAGCTGAGACAATGATGCTGAAAAAGATCCACTAGCCTAAGGCTAACAAATAAGCAGTTTTGCTGCTTCAAAGTTCCACGCATTCCTTATTCTTATTAAAGCTTGCCTTTATATATGTGCAGTTTATATTTACCAATGTTATACTCCGTAAAGCTGGGCCAGGGGGGAGGAGACTTGCCCTGCTCAAGCCCACAGCAGTCCTGTGAGGACTGATGTGTGGGGCTCTAAAGGGTCAAAGAAAAAGTACATTGAAGACACAAGAATAACGGAAGCATCGGTATATGAACTTCTGGTCTAAGACCACGTCACCAGCAGCAGCACCGGCCTGGCTTTGTGGTGAGGATCGAGCTTTCGTAGGTCTGTGGGAGATGGATGGAAGAGATGCAGGGGCCCTCTATATTAGAAGCCATCCCATGACATAGTTTGCCTCGTAATACGTATACTTTAGTTGTCAAGAGCCCTTAACAAAGCACGCCCCTGGTGTCATCGGTAACCCCTCTACAGAACAGGCCAACGTGGGAACTATAGGGAGAAAATGACCTCGGATTCCTAAACCTTTTGTAGATGTCAGGTTTACATTTCAAATTTAAGGGGCCCCCTGCCAAGACTGAGCTGTGGAGCCAAAAATAATTTACTTCTGTCATCCATCACTCCTACAGCCTGGCCCATGGCAGCGAAGCAGTTTATAGGTCAAGGATCTTGGAAAAGACTCGAAAGTGTGCAGCTCTCTGCCTCGGCAGCCCCCAAACAGAACTGGCAAGCACTCGGCTAAGCAGGATGCCCCTTCCTTGGCTGGGAGCTTTTCCTGCCTCCACGGAGGACTTCCCCACGGCAGCCCTGGCTCTCCAGAGACTCAAAGTGGAGAGCAGAAGCCATTCGGGCTGGGCCAGCCTTACTCTGGAGCCCAAGTAAAGGCAATGGACCTCCCACTGTTCCAGCATCTTCCTCGGTGCAAGGCGGGTAATGCTCCTCAACCCCCCTCCCAGGCGTAGTGTCAGAGGGAGACGTTGAAAAGCACTTTGGAAAATACTGTGGAGAGGAATGGACCCTCCTGAGTTTTACAAATGTGGAATAAACATGTGATTTCCCCTTTTACTAAAGAAGACACACGTTATTTTTCTTTTTAAGTCCTGATGCCATTCCAGAACACCTCAAAGACACGCCGGCACCACCATATTTTGGCCAACTTACCCTCTAAAGAGAATATTATATCCTTTCGCAGAGATTCCCCCCTCCCTAGATCAGAGTGAAAACTCAAGCCCTTCCTTCTCTTAAACAGCATAGGAAAGTGGTCAGTCAGCGGCGTCCTGGAGTGCAGCTGAGTTCCTTTAGAATCATTCTGCTTAAAATGCCAGGCTTCAAACACTCAGGATTAGGCTCTAAAAAATCCCATTAAAGTCATAAACCTTTTACGAGGTCTATCTCACAAAGGACTGATTAACCCCAAACCACTTCTACCCATCCCTCCCTTGCCTCATGGAGCAATACACAAGTGTATCCCTTGAGTTTGCATTTATAATACACCCCAACGGTGAGGGGTGGAGAGAGAGGGTGGGGTTTTCAAACAGGTTTTAAGACCTATCGGTTTGCTAGTGGCTAGAAGCAGTGCACGGATTGGGTAAAAGTTAAGGGGGAACCTAACCAATGGTTTCTGCTCATCTAAGACCAGCAAGAAGAATTTTACATCAGTAAAGGAATCAAACAGTGTCTCACCAGAAACTCATACAACTAAAATGGCAGGGTGTGGTGCCCAGAATGGTACTGAAGTGACTGCAGCTCTCTGTCCTGAAAGGTGGGGTTTGAGGTTCAACCTGGGAAACAGGGAATCTTAAGGTTCAGCTCTAAGCCATTTGAGAAGGGCAGAGCACCTTCTTAGAAAGTACTTCCGATACCACAGCAACAGAAGAAGAGGACTTTCTGATTTATGCTTTCTTGGGAACTGAGACATAATTCATACCAGAGATACTAAATAAAGAAACATGGGTTTTCTGGATTTAAAGGAGCAGTGGACAAAAAAAGGAAGAATCCGAGTCTCCCACTTAGGGCAGGCAGATTAAAGCTCAGTGTAGCCACACTCAGAATAAAGGAGGGTCTGGGCTCCCAAGGGGAGCATGTCTATGGCCTCATTCCCACCAGGAGAGGCAGGGTTAGGTCTGCTCTGAAAAGAGGGGGAAGCTCCTGTCACCAGAGAGACGCCATTCATTGTACAACATCTACTCAAATTTATTCTAAAATGCACTCTATTAGTGCAAGGCTGGAAATCTGTATGCCGCACAGTGCGGACTCAGCTCCATTCACAGCATAACATCATCGGGTTCTAGGCACTTCCCAGGTAACGAACCCTGCTGCTTAGAGGAAAGGAAAGGCAGTCACCATTTGTTATTAGATGAAACCGTTTGGTTTAAAATTAGTCTCATGGAGTTTATTAGTACATGCACACTAGCATATATACTTATACATGTATAAACAGATTCCGAGAGGAAAACCAGAGAATGATTAAAATGTTCATCAAACATCTCTTGAGCACTTCTAGGAGCTTTGTATCATTTCATCTTAACAATGTCCCAGAGAAGCAGGGCATTTTTTTTTTCAGTTTCGGAGATGAGGGAACAGGCACAGAAGTTACGTGGGTAGCGCAGGGCCATCCACCCGCACGTGCGGGGCAGGGACTCAGACGCCTGTGCCCCGGCGCCAGTGCCCTCATCCTCACCCAGAAGCTGGTGTGTTGTTCACGGCAACTTCCCCTTTCTGTGAACATCTATGTGTTCTTCAATAAAGATGTGTTTTTAATCAGCCAACGTTGTTTTTAACCCGACAAAACACATTAAAGGAAAACCTACAATTATGCTAGAAGCAGCAAAAAGGAAGACAAGGATGAGACATGATTACCTCAGCTTGGATGACTTAATTTCAGAAACGTTATCTAGACGCTGTGCCCGTCAACAGATATCTGAGCACATTGTGTTCCAACTCCTTTCCCATTCATTCTCAAAATAAAAACTAGCAACATGTTTTCTCAAGCAAGGCCAGGGTTGGCTCATGAGTGGGCGGCAGGGCCCTGTGACGGCCCTGTGGCGAGGCTGACTTGGTTCAAACCCTCTGCTCTCTGTCAGCTTGTGCTAGTTACTTAGCCTTGCTGAACCTCAGAGCCTGCAGCCGTACAGACAAGTACGCTGCCACCTACCACAAAAGATTGTTGGCACATAGTAGAGACACAATAATTGGTAGTTATAAAACTTAAGCCGACATCTTCATTTTAGAAATTATACACACACCCCCCTCCTAAATCGAGGGCCACGGCTGTACGCACCAAGAATGGCCTTTGGCCAGGACAAGCAGAGCTTCCTCTGGCCTGGCTGCTAAAGACTCTATTAATGAATAACCCACCTTGTGGAGACAAGAGCCAGGCAGGGGCTAGCTTCTCGGGGAACTGGGGCAAAGGGAAACAGGTTCGGCTCTGTAAGGCTTGGAGATGTTGCTAACCCATCCTGTACCCAGAAAGTGTAAGTCTACAGCTGAATGAGGTGGATGGCCCAACAAACCTGACTCATACCCTCTGGAGGGGAGCTCTTCTCCCTCTAGTCAGAAGGGATGGGAAGTGTAAGGGGAAGAACAGCAGAGGTAATGATGGGAGCAGGCAGGTGGACAAGATTACTTCCGCATATGGTTGTAATCTCTGAAGTAGCAGCAATGGATGATAGTCCTGGTGTTTGGCCAGCACAGCTGCTGTGCTGTGTGACTTTGAGTATTTGCCCCCTCTGGGCTTCTGGTCAACAAGGAGGTTGGGTCTGAATGCATCTGAGTCCTCTTCTAGTCCGTCATGCGACATGCAGCTCGGTTCATCCAGGGCGGCACTGCTGCCAGTAGCAGCTTGCTTACTCAGCTGGAACCTCCTCAACAGCGAGCCGGTGGCTCCCCAACACCTGCCGCCGCAGCCGCCACCAAACCTTTCTCTTGGATGCAGGTCATTTCAGGGTGGGATCAGCCAACTCTGCCAAGACTGCTCAACAGCTAGTTTTTAGAACTTACAATATTCTCATGTTCCTTCCTCCCACCTCATAACCCCCAACTCAAAAACGGTAATGTTTATTACCCCGTTAAGCCACCGGGAAAATGCTCAAGTGCATTCTAGAAAAACTCAACCCCATTTGAAAGACTAATCAGATCAATTTGAAGATACTGCTACAGAGTGGAAGGAAATGGGAGAGGGTGTGTTGGGAAGAAGGAAGGGGGAAGGGAGGGAAGGAGGGAATGAGGTGGGAGAAGAGGAGGTGAAGCCAGCAGCAGAACCAGTACTGGAATTTAACCGGAGTTCAGCGGCACATTCTCCCAATGGCCTCCACGAAGCTTCCCTAGAAAAGCTGGGCCTGAACAGCAAGAGCCCCCCTCGCTTTATGGATTCGAGCTCATTTCCTGCGGGCGGCGGGGCAGACAAGCACACCTCTCCCCGACCCTCCTAAAAGATAAACCACTGGCTGGGTTTCTTGGTGGCACGGATCCCACACTGTCAGGCCACCTCTGGATGGGGCGCTGCTGGTGAGCGGGTCGTTCACTGGAACAACCAAGGCAGCTGCTGACACAGCCCTTGAGCAGGTGCCTCTCATTTGCCTCCAATTTTTCAGTGAGGTTCGCCCACTCTGTCTTACATGTGAAGAAAAATGAGGTTCGGCAAGGTGAGCTCCAGGTGACATAGCTCCCAGGTAGTCAGGACTCAAACCCAGCATTTCTGGGCTCCTCGCCATCACCATCGTATTTTCCATTCCGCTGGCTCCTCGGGGCGTAAGAGGCCGTAAGCCAGGGCACATCACAAGATGGAGGCCAGGAGCAACCCCCTGGCAGGCCTGGCCGCAGAGCTGTGAGAGGAGGGAGCCAGAGCCCTAAGTGAGGACCTCTCCCACCCCCCCTTCCCCTCCAGCCCCGGAGGTGCGGGGGAGTCATGTGCCAAGGCCATTGCCAGGTGGCCTTGAGCCAGGCCTGCGGTGGGGCTTTCATGTCAGGGGAAGGAAGCGGTCAGGCGGCTGGCCAGGAGCGCTCCCTCTCCGCCTCCTCGGGCTGAAGCTCCTTTCCTGTCCCCCTGTCCCCTCGCAGTCCCGCCTTACCTCCCCGCCTCCCCCGCAGCCGGCCCAGGCTGCCCTGCTCACTTCCCACGCCCCCTGCGCACCACGCTCTCCCAAGGGAGGGTTTCTATAGCGGAGGCCAGGCCCCACTGGGTAGGAGGCTGGAAAACAATTTCAGTCTGTGGTTCCAAAGGCTGAACTCATGACCACAACCAGGGGCTAACCAGGGATTCTAGAGGGTTAATCATTTGTCAGTCTTTAACACCAGATGGGTAAACAGTCAACTAGCCTCTCAGGGAACAAGGCCATCAGGGTCCTCCCTCCTCTCTGTGATCAGAAAGAACCTTGAGAGCAAAGAAATCCACCTCACCTATTTGCAGGGAGGCCTCCAGGTGCAAGGAGAAGGTGTCTGCATCCCAGGGGACAGCTGACTCCCCCAGTCCCACACCCAGACTGTCCAACGCAAAATGCCAGCCTCTCAAGTGGCCGATGGCTGTGTGAGGCGAACGTTAATTTCAGACAGAAAAAGCAAAGATTCCTGCAGCCAAGAAATAACCACTCTCCAGACAGGAGACACTAAAATGATGTGGTTTCCTCCTGGGTTACTGCTTTTTCACCTGGGGAGGAAAGCGCAAGTGGAAAAAAGGCAAAGGATCAAATGCAAGGCAACTGCGAAATCAGCTTACAACCCCATTGGCCAGAGCTAGTCTGAGACTCCTCCCAGTCTCAGTGGTCAGGAATAGCACAGTGTCCTTGGGGTCAGGCATTTCCTGTCTGTTGGTTGGGCTGGGGCCCCTCAGTTCGGCCAGAGGGTCTTGGCTTGTCACAGCTGCCAAGCAAGCCTTCGCCACCATCCCACTCCTCCTGCACAAAGTAAGAAATTATCGCAATGCAGAGACAGGTCTAAGAACCATGCCAGTTAGACCATCTGCCCTCCGATGAGAAGCCACGGAAGCCAGCAGGGGTGTCCAACCTGCGGCCCGCGGGCCATGTGCAGCCGGGGATGGCTGGGAATGCGGCCCAACGCAAAAGCGTAAATTTACTTAAAACATTATGAGATTTTGTTTTTGTGATTTCATGTCACAACGTATCTAATGTGTGGCCCAAGACAACTCTTCTTCTTCCAGTGTGGCGCAGAGACGCCAAACGGTTGGACAGCCCTGAAGGTTTTCATGCAGGCGTTTACTCATCCACATTTCACACTTAACTGATGAGCATGATCCACCTGATGCCCAGAGGCTCCTCCGCTGTGGTTCCCACTGCGTCCCTGCCACCCCACTCTGGCATCAGAGCACCACGGCTACCGGTATACGTCCTCAGCTTTTTTCTTTATCTAGCACTTGGGCAGGCCTTAGAAGAATTATCTTTGGATACTTCCTCAGCATGTTCAAATGCTCAACGTCTGTATTTCATGGAATCATGGACTCAGATATCCCTTCCTGCAAATGCCTTCGACAGACAGGAAACTGAGGCTCAGGGAGAAAGCCACCAGGTCAGGGACCGAAAGGCAGTTTGCTAGAAGAGTTATGGCCAGAATCTCATTTTTCCAATGGCCTCTCCAATGATCTCTCAACTTCTTTCAAATAAAACGCCACTTTAGACACAGCCAGCCAGATGAATCTTGGTCAAATACTTGTACGGGTTTCTTTTTTCACACTATTTGTTCAGGGTTCTCCAGAGAAATGGAACCAATAGTTTGTTTACATAGAAAGAAAGTTATTATAAGGAATTAACTTGTGTGATTATGAACATTGGCAAGTCCAAAATGTGCGGGGTGGCCAGCAGACCGGAGAAGCAGAGCTGATGCGACGGTTTCAGCGTAGCTGGAGGATCCCTCCTAGCTCAGGGCACAAGCCTTTTTGTTCTACTCAGCATCCAACAGCCCACCCACAATTACAGAGGGCAACTTGCTTTGCTCAAAGTCCATCAATTTAAATATTAATCTCATCGAACAACTCTGCCACAGGAACACACAGAATAATGTTCAACTAAATATCTGTGTACCTACTGGCCTAGCCAAATTGATGCATAAAATTAACCATCACACACACCGTAGCTAAGAAATATAGTCTGTGATAATCCCATCATGTGTCAAAATGGACTCATTAAACATCTTATGTTTCATAAAAGTCTTTATCAGATTGTTGAATGGGTCTCCGCGGAAGGCAAGCAGGAAAGAATCAAAATTAATCTTAATTAAAGATCTACACAGACACATGTGTGTATAGGCACACACCTCCGCAGCAGAAAGGAATGCAATGTAATCATCTATTTCACTGAAGGACAAAAGAGAGAAAACAGACTTAGAATGCCCAGGGTATGTATATGGGATATGAGAGTTGTTAAAAGGCAGCTTCTTTCTGAGAGAATGGATGCTGGAATCCCGTGTGTTAAGGTTACCAGGTGGGGCCAGGTGACCTCAGGAAGTCTTTTCCAACCCAGATGATTCTGTGATCATATTTCCACTGGAATGAACCGTCCTCAAGAGAGTGTTCATCACCACAACTAGGGACACAGGAGTGTTGGGACCAAAGGGTATCAGGCATACATTGAATCGCCCCAGTTTGCCACTGCAGATTCAACAGGAAGAACTGCTCTTGTAATTCTCTGCCCAAAATAACTGGCGTTGCGGATGAAGAATGGCTGGTGTGTTCCCGGCCCAGTTCATTTCAGCCGTGGGTAAGCGACACCTCTCCATATAATTTGCCAAGGTGTCTGCCAACAAAGAGAAAGCAGGAATAAAAATGTAGAGACGTCACCTGATACTTCAATTTTCCTGCCCGATTAAAATTTAAACTCCATAGCCAGATTGTCTTGAGCATAAAGTGAAACATTTACAGATACTGAAAAACATCTTTTAAGAAAATACTTGTGCTAGTCTTATTTCCTTAAGAAAATAACATTATCAGCAAACTCCAGATCACAGAAAACTGTAATAGACACGTGGATCCAGTTTCTTCAATGATGACAAAAATGGCAAGAAAAAAAAATAGAAAGGAGGAAAACCTATTAAGTGAAAACGTAAGTTGAGATATGTCAACTAACCTCATTGTATAGACCTTATTTGAATCCAAATTCAGATGAACTACAAAAATAAATTACAAGGAGATTGGGGAATTGTGAATACTGATATTTGATATTAAGGAATTGTTCATTTTTTAAGGTGTTGATGTTGAGGTTGACAAAGAGTTGTTTTTTATTTTTTTATTTTCCGTAGGCAGAGGGGAAGGGAGAGAGAAAGAAAGGGAAATATCAGTGCATGGTGGCCTCTCTGCACGCCCCCAACGGGGAACCTGGCCTGCAATGGAGGTTCGTGCCCTGACTGGCATTCGAATCAGTGAGCCTTTGGTTTGCAGGCTGGCGCTCGACTCACTGAGCCACACCAGCCAGGGCGACAAATAGTTCTTATATCTTTAAGGGATACATAATGAAATATTTACAGGTGAAATGGTATTTCTGAATTTGCTTCCTATGAACTGGTGTCTAGAGTTCAAGGACAAAGGGGAATGGGCAAGGATGCAGACGAGACAAGACAGCCACACACTGGTCACTGTTGAAGCTGGGGAGTGGCACACGTGGCTTTATTTTATGACACTATCTACTTTTGTATTTGCTAGAAAATGTACTAATAAAAATTTTAATGGAAAACATAACAAGTTTTCTTTTCCAAAATTTAAGCTTGATTATATTCACTTAAATTCTGAGCAGACATAATAAAATGTCAGTGGCTTCCACAAAAGAGTCAGCCTGCTTTCATAATTATGCCAAATCAGAAGAAACTACAATGCTGAATGCTGAATCTAGAGCCCATGGGAACTGGGGAGAGGCAATAGGATAAAGGGACTGAAGAAACTTAAGTTTGATGCTTTTGAGTCTTTTTTAAACTTATGAGACAGAGGAAAAGCTGTTATATCCAAAACAGAATCAGAATCCTGCTCCCACTTTCATCTCTTTTATATTTCCAAAGAACTCAAAAAAGGGTGCTGCCGCAGCTTGTTTATTTCCACCATTAGTTCAGCAACACCACACTCAAGGCCAAGGGGAAATGAACTTGGCCAGTGGGCCTGGTCCTGACAAGTCTGGGAGAGGAATGCTCCTTCCCAGGAAAGTCAAACTGACAAAATGACGTGAGCGTCTAACAGATGAAGAACATTTGCTAATAGGTCATCCCCTGAACGACCCGTTAAGGGGATGAAAAATGTATGTCTGTGTGTAAATGAAAAGGAAGATAATATACTGCTGATTGATGAACATGTGATCTCGATGAGATGAACCTGGCAGGAACAGATACTTGACTCGCCCAAACTGAGAACTTTTAAATTTAGCCAGTGTCCCTCTCAGGGAAACTCGGAGGATGCCATCCAGCTTGACTCACACCGCATTACAAAGAGATCAGCTTGAGGATATCATATTTCCACTTTATGTAGGAAACCGAAAGCTTGCAGATATTTTCCACCTTAGCCAATGGTGCAGGGTAAATGTATGATGCACAGAACCAGTCACAGGACACAGCTGCCATCCAGGAAGAGGCACGTCTGTCTCAAGAAGGAGGTCGTGGCATCCAGGGCTCACGCACAGCCCGAACACCATAATTTCCAAGTCAGGCTCAGGCTGTTTGGGTTCCTTACGTGCCTTTACCTCCAGTTCCTAG